AGTAAACGACTACGAATTTATCTAGCCATTCCCGAAAGAGATCGTTCATGCATCTTTGGAAGGTAGCAGGGGCATTCGTAAGACCGAACGACATGACCACAAAGTCGTAGTGGCCATAGCGAGTTTTAAAAGTCATTTTGTGCTGGTCTTTGGGTTGTACCTCAATCTGATGGTAGCCCGACTTCAATCTTGGAGAAATAACTGCATCCTTGCACCCTATCCAACCGATCCTCAATTCTAGGCAAAGATTCGGCGTTTTTCACCGTAACGCGTCCAAACCGTTATAGTTGATGCACATGAGCAGTTTGCCCTAGTTTTTAGGCGCGAACAAGACCAGTGCTCCATACGGTGAGGAGCTGGGCTTAATCCACCCCTTCTTTATCAATTCATCAAGCTGCCTGCATAACTCATCGAGTTCTTTGGGAGACTTTCAATAAATAGGCCCCTCGGGAGTCTTGCTATCGGGCTCTATCTCTATCCAGTGCTTGATTTCCCTTTCCAGTGCTCTTGCTAGGATCTCTCCCACATCAGCAAACTCTTTCAGCGGTTTTTCAAGTGCGGGTAGCGTTTGTTCCTCCTCCTCCTTGCCCTCGCTAACCAGTCTAACATATGCTACAAAGATTTGGTCAACCACCAGATCGGCCTTGACCACATGCCTGGCGAACGCAGGGGCACTCGTAGAGCAAAGCGACGGACTGGACTCTACTCCAGACATGAAACAGTGCAGGGGCACTCATAGAGCAAAGCGACGGACTGGACTCTACTCTTGACATGAAACAGTCGCAGCACCGGCCACCAATTTATTTTATCGACGGCACACCAGCGCTGAGTTTTTCGGACGACTGCCGGCAGCGAAACATTCTCAGCAAGGCTGGGCCGTGTACTGGCGGTTTAAACTGTTCCCTACAAATCAGCAGTACATCCGAGCCTCTTTCTCCTGAGGTGTATTTGTGCTGCGCGCCACGAAAAAACAAAGGCGAAACATTGTGCACAACTTCTTGTTTTTGTTTTGGGTGACACCGCCAGGCTCCAGCCAAACAGATCCAGTGGACCCTGCCCTGAAAGTTGTCGTGTGTATGTGCACGCGCTGAAACAAAATAGCTGCACCTTGTACTAGGAATGGTATTCAACCAGTTACAATGTGTTTAGCTTTTTGTAGGTTCTTTATGACAAAATTTATAAAAACATATGGTCCACAAGCTCTGAACCTCTCAAACCGTCTTGCCATCACTTCACACATCAAGCATCAACTGGTTGAACTGGTGAAAAGTTGAAAACTTATTGACTAAATAGTAAATACTAAATAGTAAATTGGGCTTCTTTTTCAGGGGGGCACTAATGCGCCGGGATAGGCAAATTATTATTTAGTATATACACAAAACAAAAGTAATCCTTATTGTGATGCTAAAGCCACCAATACATTTCCCACCCATTGCGTCATAGTCGCGGCATGCATGCAGCCACAACTTCTGTGGCTCAGCTTCCGGAGCAAGATGGCTGACGGGACCAGCCAAATTGAGGCCCGAGGCGGTTCATTTTCTTTTGGCGTGCAGGGCATTTTAAATTCCCAGAGAAAAGTGCCTCGGAAGTACTGGTGGCTAAGGAACACAACTATTTATTATTTAAACAGGACGAGGTAACCACGTCTTGTCTGTTCTGTTTGGAAGCACTGACTCGTTTTTTACTCAAGGATGCTTACGACTTCGGAACTACCGTTGAAGGAAAGTGGTCATTACTGATACACAATTTGTCAAATTCATATAGATGCTCATCATATTTCTATGAAGCACAAGAGACGCAACACGTAAAAGCATGCACAAAAAAAAGACGACCGTGCAAACACTTGAAAACATTGCATCTATAGAAACTATAAGAGAACTATCTCTGAAGATGCACATGAAATATCTATCAGATTTGCTTAGCCGTGATCACAGACAGGGATGGGAAATATCTATCAGATTTGCTTAGCCGTGATCACAGACAGGGATGGGAACCATGACAAAAGTACATATGAATTATAAGAATGGTATCGCATTGCTATAAAGCTCTGTCTGTAAGTCCCTGTGCAGAAGGCACCAAGAAATATCTAATCAACAGCTAGGCTACCAGCTGGGCCGCCCGGGTCCCGGGTGGCCAGCCCGTGCAAGGACCAAGGAAGGTCCCAGCACAGGTAAAAAAAAAAAAAAAAAAAAATCCAAAAAATCCAAAACAATACTATGTTATGCAGGGTTGCCGGCATTCGGGACGGGCCGAACACCCGAACCCGAACGCCCGAACGTTTGGGACCCCCTCTCGACGCGTTCGGACGTTCGGCCGAAAGCGGAANAAAAAAAAAAAAAAAAAAAAGTTCCCAAAAATTCTGAAAAAAAAAATGTCATGCAGAAGAATAAACTAAACAACATTTGCCTCAACAGTACATCCAAATTCCTTACCAAATTTGAAATAAAAATCAAATACGAAAAATAAATAATATTAATGATAATAAGAAAAAATAAAACGAGAATGAAATTATTGCGTGGGCGACACCGCCATCTTTGGCGATTTTTCATTTTTTTTTGGCTCTGTCAAATGCCATGAAATTTTATACATATGTATCTTACATAATAGAGAACCTACAAATAAAGTTTAAAAAAATAATAATTTTTTTCAGGCCCCGAAATAAAGGGAAAACAAAAAGTGAAAAGAGAAAAAAAACAAGTTAGTAAGTGGGAAAGCAAGTTTTGACACCACCATCTTTGCCGATTTTTTATTATTGTTTGGCTCCACAGAATGACTTCAAAATTGAGAGACAGATAGCTTACATAACAGAAACTCGCAAAAAAACAATCAGAAAAAAATAATAATTTTTAGGTACCAAAAAGATTTTTTGCGGGGTCCGAACCCCTTCGAGTTCGGGCCCCGTACGGGGACACGAACGCCCGAACATTCGGGGGTCAGCTTAGGGGCCTCCGTACGTTCGGCCTGGCAACCCTGATGTTATGCACAAAAATATAATGAACAATCGTTGCCTCAGGGTCACATCGAAATGCTTCACCCAATTTAAAATAAAAAATAAAATCTAAAAATATTTTTTTTATTTTTTTTGGCCCGGCCAGACAAGTGACCCCGGGCCGCTCTGGTAGCCTAGATCAACAGGACATTTCCTGACCTCATGGAACATGCATTCAATAACAACCAGCTCAAAAAGTATGATATATTTTTTCTTAATTAAACCACCAGTACTTGGGCACTGCGCGCCGCGCCGGCCGCCCAAATCTCGAAGCAGCGCGCGAGCCCACTGGAAGGGCTGTCGATTTGATTTATCGACGGCCCGCCGGCCGCGGAAATCGCGTAGCGTTAATGCTAAGGCGTCGCCCAAGTACCGGTGGTTTAAATTTGCTTTCTCAAAACAGACAGGCATGGGAACCATGAGAAAATGGGTAAGGATGAACTAGTGATATAGAATTGTGCCTGAAATAGTACTATAGAATTGTGCCCAAGTCCCTGTGCGGAAGGACTGACACATGCCACTTGCACAGAGAGAGAGAGAGAGAGAGAGAGAGAGAGAGAGAGAGAGAGAGAGAGAGAGAGAGAGAGAGAGAGAGAGAGAACCATTCAAGAATGGCATGGCCGACTTTCCAGCAACTCATTGATCAGACGGAACAATCAGAATGGAAAGAATATTGCGAAGAACCAGGTTGTATCTGTTTTCGGCTACAGCGAGCCATGGGATTTTCATAAGCACAGACTTTCCTATATATTCCAGAATCATTCTGAAAACAAGGGACAATGGACCCGTTTTCCAGAAGGTGACGATCCCCACCAATAGATGGAGCCTCTGTTTTGTTATAAAAAAAAAAAAAAGGGATTTCATTATTTTTCATAAGCACATCAAATAGGAAAACGATGGAATACGGGGTAAAAAGGGTTTTCAATTTTTACAAAGCCTTCGTTGGCATAAGCACTATACCCTTTTTTGTATGGAAGGTTCGAGAGGCACAGGAGGGAGGGGATGATAGCAGATCTTCACTGAAAGCAAAGAGAGAGGAAGACGACATTGAATACAAGTAAGTTCCATTTCTGAGTCTTTCTGACCTCTACTCCCACAGAATTGTTTTTAAATTTGTGCAAGAACGCAGCCCCACCGATTCCCTGTTTTTGAGATGAAAAACAAGCGAGTACTTCCGCTGGTTCTTAATAGCTCCAAACAGAACCAGACTTCAACAGACCAGAGCAGGATAACAACCACTGGTAATACTTCCATCGAAGCATTGAGCGATCCTTTCAACAAGAAGGAATCGGGACCTGCATATCACTAAAACCACTAATTGTGTCCTTGGGGAAGACGCACAAGCAACGAGGACGACGAGGAAGAAGGTGAGGAGAGGGAGAGGAGGAGCGAAGCAACGAGTGCGAGTTCTCAAAAGCGGGAGAAGAGGAAGGACGACGAGGAGGATTAACAGCAGCAGAGAAAGAGAAAGCAGAGGAAGGGGTTAAGGACCAGCAGCAGCCAAGGCAGAGCAACAGGAAGAGGAAGAGGAAGAGGAAGAGGAAGAGGAAGAGGAAGAGGAAGAAGAGAAAGAAGACAAAGAGGAAGAGGGAGAGGAGGAAGAAGAACAGCGAGGAGGTGACGACTGACAGCAAAAGAAAAATGAAGAGGAGCAAGAAGAAGAGGAAGAAAAAGAGAGAGGGAGAGGATGAAGACAAGAAGAGGACGAAGACAGGAAGGAGACAAAGGAAGAAGAGAGAGGGAGGAGGAGGAGGAGGAGGAGAAGGAAAGGCAAAAAGTTGCTTCTTAACTGCTTGTGAGATAGGATAACAACAATTGACGTGGTTCTCAGATTGGCGTGGCAGTTTGGACACCACCACATCACACTCTTCAAAAGTTGTGAGAAAGGGAAAGCAATGGTGCTACTTGACTACTTGTGAAGAAGGGTATAAAACAATTTTGATGCATGGTGTCAGAAGCGTGCGGTGGTTTGTACATCCACGGCCCAGTTTATTTGACAAATTGACATTGATGTACAAGGTTCGATTTATTGGCATTCGGTCTTCTTTTCTTATTGGCATTCGGTCTTCTTTTCTTATGAATGCCGCTCTCCTGCACGCTATGTGCAGCTGCAGGCAAATATAACCTCCCTCTTGCGGATTTGTGATTGGTCACAAAGACCGACACTCGATACACTGAGGACCATCCATAGTGCTGTTTCCTTCTGAAATCACCACATGCCCACTCCTGCATCGTCGCCACCACTTGTCGTAGTATCTCTTTCCTACTCCGTATCTACTTGTTTTCCCTACAAATCCCAGTCCCTCCACGGACTCGGACTCCTTGGTTCCAATCTCAACATCGAACAACTCACCCAGCATCTCGAGGACGTCCTTCGCATGACTTCGCAATTCACCGTCCTCGTTGTCCCGGAAACATCTCATGCGCCCCCTTACAAATTCCACCATCTGGAGCAGCGACTCGGCAGTCTCAACGTGATGCATGCTGGCGGAAGGATTACCGTTTATTATCGATCGACACATCCGCACCGCATCGTCCAGCAAACCATCCTGGCGTTTGTTGATCCGTATGAACGACGTAAACCTTTTCGCGCTTGCATGGTGGCCTGCCTTGCCTCCACCATCTCCATGGGCTCGCTGCAACACGGAATCGCAGAAATGAAGAAGGTCCGCAGCTAATGCCTCCGCCAGCGACCCTCCGGCACAAGCGATTAACAGACGAGCAGCCGATAACTGAGCCTCTCTGTAGGCTTCCCAGCAACTGCTTTCCTCAGCTCGTGTACGAGCAACCCCATACATGTTGAATGCCTCCGTAAAATGCCGAGCCGCTTTTCCAGCCCACTCTCTGGCATTCCAAGCAGCTGACGATTCTTGCCGCCTCGCCTTCTTCTTCGCATAGCTATCCCATCTGTCACCCAAGGCGCTTTTAATGTGCGGTTCGCAGCTGTTCACGGACTTGGTTGCAGCCTCCCAGAGCAGACAATGCATCGTGTGCATCGCGACTGTCAACGCATTTCCGCGAAATATTAGCAAATAAACGTCCAGCCCAATGTGCGGAGCTGGAACATCAATCTGCTCTGCCATCAGTGCAAGGTGGTCCTTCAAAACGCATGTCCCTTTGGCTTTGGACGCTCTGGCTGCAGCGGCAAACAGGCAGACAGAGGGAGATCGATAGCAGTCCTGGATCACCACATTAGACCTCTCCATAAGGGTGAGAACCCACTCCGTGATCATTCGCACCATGCCCCTGGACGTTTCCCTATCGCCAATCTGCCCTCTTCCAGGAATGCGATACTCATCAGGCTCCTCTCCGGTCAGTATGCGCCTTGCGATCGTCTCCCTCAGGCTGCTTACACTCAGCCTCATTTCTCTCACCTTCCGATGAGTGGCCACCACAAACTTCATCTCGTTCCAGTCCAGCATCGCTCGCTTTATCAGGCGTCCATACCGATTGACCCCTGTGATTAGACACTGGCATTCCGGACACAGCTTTGGGTTCGTAAACCGCTTTGGGAAGTCCTTTGCGCATTTCCACCTCCATCCGCCGTGCGCCAATGCTCCCTCACTCTTCTCGTAGTACCGATCCATTCCCAGATGAGAGTCAAGGTCAGACACTTCAAAACAGTGGCCACACGGCAGGACAATGAATGGCTCCATCCCGCCGTTTGTTGATGGGGAGCTGGAGCTGCTGCTTCCGTTAGGTCGCCTGTTGCTTTCCCTCAATGCGATTCGGCTCTGCCATGTCTTCCTACCAGCAGGGCATTCGATGCAATACTTGGCAGGCGGACAAGGCTCGCCGCACAAGGATGGGCACCGGTGTCCGCATTTGAGAACACGGTCGCATCGAAGATCACATGGGAGTCGGTCGCACGGCGCACTACATGGTAGTCGACAGTTTCCCTTGTCGTGAGAGCACCTCCATGTGCATGGCCTCAGACAGGGGACACACACTTCTGCGCAGGGATGGGAGCACCGTCCATGCGTACATGCAACGGGGCACTGACCCTCGCATGACCTGCAGCTTGTCTTCTGTTTGTCATGGCAGATTCCACCGCAGCGATGCCCGCAGACCAGTACGTTCTCGCACCTTCCATTACACGGGCCGTGATTAAACGTCGAATCGTCTCTTTTTGGAAGCAATTCAAAACTTTTCCCCGGGGGAATTGTTCGTCGGAAGCACTCCCCGCACAGTGACTTGCAAAGGTGCCCACATGCCAGCGGCATTAGGCATGGGCTCTGACATTCGTACAGGGACTTCACAACATCTTCCTTCTGCCCACAGATCACCTCCCTCGAATGACCACAGTGTGGCATCACCATTTCAACCTTCTCTTGACAAACGACGTATTTCAGGTCCCTCGTCTTTGAGCACGGAAGTTCCGCAACCACGTGCCCGCATGGCAAGACCACGTTGCGCAAACTCACAGAACACTCATCTGTCGCATTCAGCGTCCGCATGAGCCTATTTCTCGAGCAAGTGGACTTGATCGTGTGGCCACATGGAAGCGTTACATCCACTTGCACATGACACGGAACGCCCTTGAAGTCGTGCGTCTGCCAGCACGGAAGGTTTGGTCGTGAATGCCCGCATTCAAGTGTTACCTCCATGGGTACGTTGCACTTCACTCCTCCGAGATCTCGTACTTGCCAGCAGCGAAGACCACTTTTGAGGTGCCCGCACGACAGTTCGACCGCAGGAATTGGCACTCGACAGACGATGGATTGGAGGTCCTTTGTCATCCAGCAGGGCAGAGCGCTCTCGCTGTGACCACATGGTAGTTGAACATCCGGCACACGTGCCTCGCATCCACCACAAGGAACCCCACACTCCTTAGGACACGGGTGTTGATAAGGGCATTCGCTCGCAGGACGGAGTCGAGCACACGGTTTCCGACACAACACTCCTTCGTGCGCGCGATCATCAGGATGGCACCTGCATCACCAAGCCACAGAAAGAGACAACAACAACAGCAACTGAGCAGCAAACCCCCTTTCTCCCACCACTCTTTTTTTTTTTTTTTTTTTTTTTTTTTTTTTTTTCCCCTTTCTTCAAGCCCAATCCATGGTTTACTTGGGTGCACTGTGATTGCTTAGGCCTTTGCTTGACCCCATTACTTGTCCCAGCCTATCTTGCTTCGTCCTTCCCATCTTTGTACCGGCCTCATGGCGTGCCCAGAAACAGCAAGCAAATCCCAACCCCCACATCGCACATTGCAAAAACTTCTTCGTTTTTTTCTTTTTTATTCCCCACATTGCACACCACTAAAACTGACTCAAGAAACCGGCCATATTCCCAAGCCATGTCGGCCATCGATATCCCTTGTCACAGTCCCATTTTTCGATTGGTGTTTCTATTTCCCCAGCCAAAAAAAATTGGACCATTTTTTTCCATTTATGCGTGTCGTCATCGCACAGGGGCCATGCTTATTAATCTTCTTTGCATCGCTCCAATCTTGCGGATGTTTCCAAATTCGTCAATTTTTTTCAATGGCCTTAGATGGACTTCCACAAAATTCCCAATGCCTGCGCACTTGCATGTTTTCAGCAGTTTTGTCTGTCAATTTTTTAATTTTCGATTGCACCATTTCCTTCACTGAATGGAAGACACTCCTCGATTGACCATGCTACCATGGGCCTCGTTCCACTACCCCCAAGAGATGAGCAACGGGTGCCCAAAGCCGCACCCACATGCGCCTACCCAGCCCACAAGCCACACCCACCAGCACCCGCCCGACCCACAAGAAGTTGGGTCAGGTGGGTTGCACGTCAGTGGGTCGGGTTTAGCTGGTCTGGGTGGAAGATGGGTGGGTCAGTGTCTGGCCCGGGTCACCCGACTGGGAGGGTGATGGGCAGCGGAGTGTTTCCCCTGGATCACACGACTCATAAGACCCAGGACAACCCACAAAGATCCCCTCCTCCCCCTCACCCCCCTCCCTGCCAGATGCAAAAATGCTGAAAGTATATCTTGCAGCTTGCAGCAGAACGTTGCAAGATGCATTCGTCAATTTTTCATTTCGTGAGTGGCGAAACGAGGCTTTCTATCCACTACTATCTATGTGACTCTTTTCCACTGTTTTTTATTATTCTGTTGAAACGGTGAAGGTATCTTGCAGCAGACCATGGCAAGATGCATTCCCCACTTTGACATTAAGCGAATGGCGGAAGTGGGCTCTGAATCTGCTGCTACCTATGTGTTGCTTTTCCGCTGATTGTTCCATTCGTTATCGGGCTCTCACCTCCTTGGACATTCGTGCCCACATGGAAGTCTCACTCCACAAGGAAGATTGCACCCGCCATCTGGAACTAGCACAGCGAAATCCTCTGCCGACTCAATTGAAGTAATCTTGTCCGGATGCTGAGCACAGCGAAGAGGTAAGGCAGCTCCCAGCCGCTCCGCATCTCGCAGAATCTTGGTCACATGCGGCCACATCTTCGAATGCTCGTGGGCACAAAGAGTGGCCACATTCCCAAGGATATACAGCCCGTGCTTTGCTCTGGACAGCATCACGTTTACACGATTGGGCGACTTCAAAAAGCCAATGTTGCCATCTTGATTGTTCCGAACCAGTGACAAAATAATGATTTCGCTTTCTTCGCCTTGAAAACTGCACCAAAAAAAACAGTTGACATCAACAGTGTACATGCAGGCAATTTGACGTTAGCTAACCCGATCGAGTCATCCAAAACAGTTGATGTCACCTCTTTTAAAGTCCGTCCGTCTCTACAACTATATAGCTGTAGGCATCTCCCAGCTGTGAATGGAATTACATAAAATGACACCGTGAGCAGGATATCAAACAATTCAATCAAGATCTCAATTGCCACTTGCTCTCATTAGCCGCTGCTGCCATACTGTCCAGCGTTCGCTCATTGAGCTATGCCAGGGATGAGTGAAGTAACAAAATCATCGCCGGGACGATATGGAGTGTGTAGAATGACATTGTCACTTGCCTTACCAGTGAGAGACGACCCAGACGGAACCTCTCCCATAGTTGCATGCTAGAAACAAGGGGGGGAGGGGGGGGGAAGATAATCACATACACAGTCCATGAAAGGCACAGCGAATGACGAACTCATTCCAGGGACCATAGCCTGCCGTGAAAGGATATCACTGGCTTTAGCCAGTACTTAGAAGATCTCCTCCAACCTTGATCCTGAGGTTATGCTTTTCGAGGTAAAACAAGAACGGTGTCAGACACATAGTTCAGGTCATCATGGCTTCCACCTTTGGCGTGTGCAGAGCGCTTCTCCAACCACATTTCCCCCCTGCTGCCTCCTGTGATTCCCCCCCCCCCCAAAAAAAAAAAAAACAGTTACTCTTTGCATCATGCCACTCCAAAGGTGCCGTTAGTCTCCCACTATCTGTGTGCCTTCCACACGCAATTCGTGGAAATCTTGGTGAGAAAAATGACTTTCCATGTACGTCCTCACCAACTGACCGATCAAGCAACACAGATCTCTGGGATTCTCTCTCTCTCTCTCTCTCCCTTGTCCCCTTTTCACCCCCCTGACCACCTCCGACCTCCACCAAACGAATTTCTGCCACAACTCTCTGGTTGGCTTGGCCACTCCCGTCCTTCCCCTCCTCCTCGATCATCGCGAGGTGACGCCAGCGATATTTCTTCCCTACCATCTTCCCCAGAATGCAACACGCCCTGATTATGAATGTATACAAAAGCCATCTTTCCAGTGATGCGTTATGTTCGGGAGAAGACAGTAGCAAAGGAAGTCACTCAGCTGTCTTCTAAAACCTCCTTCGCTTTCACCTCGTACATCTAACAAGCCCAAGTCTCATTCACACTGAGGCACACTCTCAGTGTGCCTTAACTCGTTCATCCTTTCCAATGGTTGTGAAGGGGGATTCACACCTCAGCCAGACTGATAGGGCGGCTGCATGGTCTAGACGCATGGAGAAGAGCGTCCATGACATGCACACCTTTTCTCTCGACGGGCTGCGGGGGGTAGACTAACGATAAGCTTATCTTATGGCTGTGGCTGGGCATTGCTGAATTGCTGACCTCTGTCAGGCTGATAGGGTGGGTGCACACGGCGGCACGCTATGGCTGGAGACGAGCGCTCATGGCATGCGCACGTCCTCTCTATGCACTGCGGACAAAACAACCATACATGTATTTAGTTGGTGAAGTCTTACTCTCTGGTTCTGCCCGTAGAGATGCACTCCAATGACATCAGATACAAGCCCAGGGCCGACGGCTGCGGCACTACATCCCATAAAGCTGGGCCTAGTTCCAGTTACAATCCCACCTCAACAACGAGCCTACACAAAAAGGCTCTTTACACGAAACCCCTATATGAGCATAAAGTCCATGTATTTGGAAATAGATAATCATCATCAACAGACGGACAGATAGAGTCTGCACCGACAGTCTTTTCCATGAAAAGACCTGCATGAGAGGTGCTTTCTACAAAGCCCCTGTGAGGACATATAGCCCATTAGTCAGCAACACATTGTAGTCCTTATCAACAGACAGACAATAGAGTCTGCACCGGTGGTCGTTATCAATAGACAGACAAATAGAGTCTGCACCGGTGGTCGTTATCAATAGACAGACAAATAGAGTCTGCACCGGTCGCTTTTTCCGCGGAAGTGGCACCCCTGTGAGGATATAGCCCCATTAGTTAACAATGCATATTAATAACTAATTATCAATAGACAGACAAACTGAAAAGCCCCTGTGAGGATTGAGCCCATTGGTCGGTAATACATAGTCATTATCAACAGACAGACAAATACAGTGCACCAACGGCTTTTTCCATGCAAGTGCACCACTGGTTTTTACAATGAAAAGCCTAACAGACAGACAAATAGAGTCTGCACCGACAGCTTTTTCAACGCAAGTGCACCAATGGTTTTCACAATGAAAAGCCTGCACGAGAGGTTCTTTCTACAGAGCCCCGGTGAGAATATAGGCCATTAGTTCACAATAGATAGTCATTATCAACACCCGGACCAAATAGCATCTGCACTTACATCGTTTTCCATCGAAAGCCCATTATGAACAGACGGACAGATAAGAGCCGCTAAGACGTCTTACTTGTCGACTGTAGCCAGCCGCACAGCGGCCTCCAGAGGCTTCTTTGAAACAACCGTTGGTTCGACCTTTTCTAGCCTGGCGGTATGCCCGTCCCCTGTCTCTTGCTGGCCCTCCGTGCTGCCTTCATTGCCCAGATCCCCGTCAGATTCCGTCTCTATCATGCCCGCTTTCCTGAGCTCGTCTTTGTCCCGTTCATCTATGTGAACCACCATGGTCTGAGACAGGCACGTTCGCAGCTTCTGAAACTGACCCAGGTACGGCGTCAGGACCGTGATTTCACCCGGCCTGTAGCCCTGCGCAAAGAGGTACTTGGCCAACCCCACAACCATCTTGACCTCGTAATCATTCGTTCGCGATTTCGACATTTCCACATCGTCGTTTCCTCCTCCCCACTCCCGATGATCGTGCTCCCAGAAGAATACATCGTGTAGCATCCCACGGACCGGTGGGTAAGTCTCGACACATGGATGATCGCGAAGCGTCGGATATATCGACCGAACCAGCTCGGAGATGCACGGCCGCATCCGCCTTTGCTCCTCTAACGTGTATACCGGAAAATTGGCAAATCGCACAAGTCTCTCAAAGAGCGAGAGATCCAGATTGTAGCCCCTGCAGGAGTCCATGCTCAGTTGGTAGACTTCTATCTTCGGCCGAAGCTGCAAGTGGTCCCCTGTGTAGTTAAACATCCACAGGACAGAAGTGAGAAGATGTGAGATAGAGGAAAGAAGAACTGGAATGAGAAAAAGAGGAGAAGCAAGGAGAGGCGAGTAGCAAATGGAAAAGAGTCTTTCTGGATGAATTGGACAAACTGGGATGGAACAGAAGAACTCGGATGCGAAATTCAGAGGAGAAGCAAGGGCCGTCGAGGAGAAGGTAGTTAAATACTAAATAGTCCTCTCTTTTTTTTTGTCAGGAATTAAGTAGTCCGCCATTAAATTCCCTGTACCTCAGGTTCTTTTTTTTTTTTTTTTTTTTTTTTTTTTTTTTTTTTTTGAACCACCACTACCTTTCCCGCAGTTGGGAAAAGTGGGAATACAACCTATACCACATTCTTCAGGGGATGGGCGTAGCAGCCACCACCGTTGATAAATTCCACTGGCAGTCGCCATCGCGCTTCGGCCTTCGAAAATTGTCGGGACCCTCCCCGCGTCCCCAGTATGAGAGAAAGGTAGTGGTGGTTTACAGGGCGAATCAGAGGATGTACCTTAGATTTAGTTAAGTTCAAAGTCTGCGACAATCACCAGTAAGGGTACCAGACTCACCTCCGAGGAGTGTAAAAGACCACCAAGGACAAACACTCAAACCAGACCGCAGAACTTCATCATCAAGCGGCGGAAAATCGCACATCCCAACTGAGCCGAAGCGGAGCGAACCAAACACCAGCACCATAAGAAAAAGCACAGGCGGTGAAGACAAGAGACCAGCGTGATGAAAGCCATTGCACTTGATCCTCTCAGTCATTGACACTCTCCAGAGGTTTAGTACATCAATCAAGTCGCAGTTCCTGAATTATATACACCACCACTCATAAACAGCACCGACAATACGACCGAACCAGACTCCAGGGGTAATACGGCGGAATTGGACTCCAGGGGGTAATACGACGGAATTGGACTCCAGGGGTAAACGACTCCACTCAATTCAGCATGAGTTCAAAAAGTTTTGCTAGACCCCAACCACCCTAGCCGAACACTGATGATTGATAAGGATACTCAAACTAGGACTTCTTGGACTCGACTCTGGCAGTACTTCCAGTCAGATACATTGACCCGTTGAGGCCAGATACATCCAGTGAAGTGTCAGTGTGCGCACGCCGTCAGATGTTCTGCAAAGGACAAGCCAAAATGACTAGAAATAAATTCTCACCGTTGTCCGTTGTCGTAATCGAGGACAGGTACATCCTGTGAAGTGTCAGTGTGAGTACTCCCTCGGACACATTTGCGAAAGACAAGACAAGGTGGTAAGAAACAGATTCGCACAGTTACGGGCTCATTTCGTTTCGCTCATTTTGCGTCACTCGTTCTCCCGTTCCATTCCTCTTCCTTCTTATTGTCAGATAAACCCATCAGCAGGTAGTGTGTGACAGCTTGCCCCTTACCGATCAGGACGAGGTGCTGTGTGGCCGCAGACAGACAAGCAAGAACATGTGCTTCTAGAACTTCAGCAGCTTCCTCCACGACGATCACTCGAGGAGCGAGGGCAGTGACGAGCCTCTGATGCTTCGCTACTCCGGTTGTGGTCATTCCAACAATCTGGGCACTCTTAAGGATACTCAGATCCTTGGCTTCATATACGGATTTCAAGGAGTCGCCCAATCTGCATCCACAGCCGAGGAGCCGTTTAGGCAGTGAAAACTCGCAAGAAGACATTAACCAAGAGCAGCGACGGGTTAAGGCACTAGCACAAAGGCAAAAATGATTGAAAAGTGTAACTGATTGAAAAAACACAAAACGTCCCATAACTCCAAGAGCTAATCCAGAATCACCTACTCAATTCACATGCATTGCTTATACTCCGGTAGTGGTCATCCCAATCCTCTGGGCGGCAATCGAAAGTCGTACTTTGGATTCTTGGCTTCCTACATAAGACTTCAAGGAGTGGCCTATTCTGCACACACAGTGGAGGCCCTATTTATTTAGATGGGTGGAAAGGTGCAAACTCACAAGCGGAGATTGTTTAGTGGACTCGAGGGGATCGAGATATTAGGATTTAAGAGTCTGCGGTAAAGTCCTTGGACCCTCGAGCGTAAAAAAAAAAACTAATGCCCTAAAACCAAAAACCAGTACCCGACAACCCGCACGAGCCCTAAAATCCTAATTCGGAAACTGTAAACTCCAAGGCCCTAAACCCCAAAGGCCTTGAATCACTGGACCCTCGGCCATAGAACCCTCATGTCCTAAAACCAAAAACCCTAAAACTGTAAACCCTTGAGCCCCAAACCCCAAAACCTTAAAACTTTAAGACCCTGAAACCCCAAAGTCCTAAGAATCTGAAACCCTAAAATTCAAGAACCCTGAAACCCAAAACTCGGAGAACTTAAACTTAAAGCCTAAAGCCATAAACCCTGAGACATAAAATCATAGGGGTCACAATTTTAATCTTCTACGGCCCCAGGGTTTTGGATTTAGGGCCTCGACTTAGGTTCTGTGTTTTTTAGGGCTGCAGGCTACTGGAATTTCTGGTCTTAGAGTTCTAGGGTATTGGATGTACAATTTGCGATTCACGGGGTCTACGGTTTTAAGCGGGTCTAGGATTGACCGCTCTGATTTGATGAATGGGGAGACTCGACGGTCGATGACGGAAATATTTACCCAGCTACCGCCACTTTAGAGGCTACGAGGTCGCGCACCGACTCTCTCTACTTGGGTTCGACCAGATAGGGCTGAGAATATGCCACGGTTGGAGAACGAACAACTAGAACCTCGGTTGTGCTTTGGGGTTTAGAACTTAGGAATTCACTAAAAGCTTTAGGGTTTAGGGCTTTGGGGGTTAGAATTTAGGACCTAGAATTCTAGGGATAGAGGGCTTCGGATACTCTAGGATTTAAACCCCAAGTACACCGCACGGGCAAACTCAGAGAACTGAAAACGAGCGACTCCGAAAAGTTCAGATGAACACTGCTACCGGACCACAATGGCTGGTGGCACCAACCAGAAGGAAAAAAGAAGACATCGCGCTGGCGCTTCGGCAAAGCTTGGCGCGCAATTCTTTTCTGCCTCAGCAAAAACAGAGGCTCGGATGTAAATGTGGTTTAAGGTTTCACAGTTGACCAATTAAGCCAGGAAAGGGTTCGGAATTTTCAACGTTTGGGGGTTTAGGGTTTCGGGGTTTTGGTTTTAGGGGGGCCTTCGGATTTTACAGTTGAGGGTTCAATCAAGGATTTAAGGCCCTTTCGGGGTCTGGGACTCTGGGGTCTTCAGTTTCGGAGTTAGGACACCGCTCAAGGGTGTGGTATTTAGGATCTGAGGTTTTACGGTTTACGTCTGTAGGGTAGGGTTTCAGGGCTCGGGGTTCACAGTTTAGTCTTCCAGATTAGAGCTCAGGATTTGTGGCCGAGGGTTTAGGGCTGACGTTGCGCCTCGATGACCTAGGACTTCCACGCTTTGCATTTCAAGAGCTTTAGGGTTTAAGGTTTCAGGGTTTATGATCTGAAGGTTGGGGGCTCATTGTGTTCAAGCACCATTACCTTTTCCCATGTCGGCTTCAGGTGGGCCTCTGATCTCTCTTAGGAGGCCGAAATGAAACGACGGCCGCCGGTGAGATTTACCAACGGCAGCCGTCATCAGGGCCCGGCCCCTGATTTTTTAGGAATAGGCTATTTTCCTGTTTTCCCAACAGCAGGAAAGGTATTGGCGGCCCTCAAGACAGGGCATAGCAAGCAGGTATCCGGAAGAGACTTGATACGGATTGGTTACCAAATGGCAAGGAGGCAGGGTTGGACAAGTCCGAGTGATCAGGAGGGATTGGTACAACACAGAAACAAGCAAGGATTTCAACAACGTGCAAGGAGACCTGGTTTGAGAAACGAATCCTGGAAACAGGAGATATTGGGCAAAGCACCTCCGGATCAGAAGTCTAAAGAGAGAGTTTCGGACTCGTACCACCACACTCGGGGAAATACGGTCGGGGTCTGGAGCTACGCCAATGGAAGGCGAGAGCAAGGGAGGAGAGTTCTAAAAAAAATAATACTTCCAAGTGAGGGCCAGGGTTTAGGGTTTAGGGTTTAGTAGACCTCAAAAGAAGGGAGAAGACTTAATGGGTTAGGGGATGCAGCGACTTACGGGCAGGGCCGATGAGGGGGGGAGCACAGGCATATAGAAATATAATGGGCGAGCTCTTTCTAGATGACATAGCACTATCTGGCAGAGCTGGTTTTTTTCAGGTCTGAGAGGAAAGAGGAAGTCACGGCAAGCTGACAGTGAATCTTCACCATTGGTGGAGCAATCAATGCTGTTCAGGGGTCCTCCGGCCAAACGGGAGGAAGCATGAGTTTTCTGCTATAATGCAATGTTTCTTCTGACTTGCCGGTGGAATAGGAACCGGACTGACGCTCCCCAGAATAGACGGAGCCAGAACCATAACGCCCTGCGTTTATTTGGAAAAAAAAAAAAAAAAAAAAAAAAAAAAAAAAAAAAAAAAAAAGAAAAAAAAAAAAAAAGGAAAGGTATTGGCGGTTTAAGGTCTACGGTCTTAGGACTTAGGATTGTACAGACCAGGGTTTCAGGATTTACAATTTTAAGGTTTAGGGTGAAGGGTCAAGGTTAAGGGTTTAGGGTGCTGGGTTCCTGAAACAATTTAAAGCATTCAGGTCAAGGGTGCTTTACAACACCTTTGACCTCCTTTTTTTAACTTGCTGAATTTCCTGCAAATTGTTTTTTCATCCCGTTTATAGTTTTGGCAGGGGCCCTCGAACGCACCGTTTCGACCCCGGCCTTCCTTTTTCTTTTTCGGAGGGGGGTGACGGGTCGTTCCCGCCGTGCACCGCACGTCGGGAAGCGTGCGCACGACATGCGCTTGCACGTATGATTGGAATGCATAATTGCCAAACTGCTCTCAGTGAGAATTAGCAAACCGGAGGACGTACAATTTATTTATTTATTTATTTATTTTAACCACACACACACACGTGTAGTGCCCCATCTATTCTGCAGGGCACCAGTCCCGTTACTTATCACCGGCAAGCAGAAACAACTTCAAATAACGATCCGATGCTCCCATGGGAAAAAGGTAGGTGGAGACCGCATACAACCGGAACCGGGAGACTCCCGGTAGTACCCAGACAATGCCTGCCCTTCCTCCTCCTCCTCCTCCTCCTTCTCGCTATCCTCGTCGACCTCGTCCACATCCTCTTCCTCTCCATATCCCCCTCTCCTTGCCATATCCCCATCTTCCCGTCCTACGCCCTCCCGTCCCCCATCCCAAAAAAAAAAAATAATAATAATAATAATAAAAGTAAAAAACCTGCATGATTCCTCACAGGCACCCCCACACGGAATTCCGCACGGAACTCCGCATGAATGTGCAGCTCGTGCAGTTGCAAGTATGATTCCAATGGAAGAGCATGGTCACACTAGCACTTATTTTTCTGAATCTGGTCAAAGATGGACTCACTCACATCCATCAAGAAAAGTGCCAATGTGAGCATAGCCGTGACCAACAAACCGGCCATACTAACCCAGCAAATCAACGACACTTCTATTCTCCCAGAAATAGAACGCATGGTCATCCTAGCTGTATTTTTTTTTGGGACACTTGCATTCTATTTGGAACAAAACGGGAGGTAGTTACCTTACAACCCAATAACAACATATCAGAATTCCCTGCCAAGCAGCTCGTAGATCCCCCCCTCCCCCTCCCCCTTACCCAGCCCTTAACCCCCCTCTCCCCCCAAAAAAAGAGCTTCTAGATCATCCTGGACACACCTCAGCACTGTGACTGCCCTTCCCCCATCCCTATTCTCTCCCGCATGTATTCAACCTTGCCTTACGGTATGATTCATCGCAGTGAAACAGAATGACAAGTAGACTGGAAGACCATAGAGACCCTCTCATTCACCACCCCTGACTGCATGTAGTGGAAACATGATACCCAATCAAGCACACTATCTAGCCCACTACTCTGCCCCTTGCACTTGCGCAGGTGATGTACCTCTTCGTTTGAGCGCCCTGCCTGGCACGCGCTGCACACAGGCAAGGCTTTCAAACATATGAGCATGACGATAGTCAGATAACACCGATTCACACCATCTTCATCATCTGTGGGGCCGAGCCGAGGACCCTGGTTCTCTCTCTCCGCCGAGTCAGCGAGCTGTCTCAAGCTTTCAGTGATCCCTGGACGGCCACCATATCCAGTCCTCTGAGGCAGAAGTCAGGCCGTCCTAATGTCATCAAAAGTTAAAAAGCCAAGAACCCGAACTCCTTCCTCGCATGTTTGGTCAAACCGAGCCTCTTACAGGGAGGTACAAGTGCAAAGGGAAGGGTAGAGTCTAAATGCCTCTCCACAGATGAGCAGAGCCGTCAAATTTCCAAGGGGTAAAGTCTAAGTGGCTCTTAAAGGGAAAGCAGAGCCATCAAATTTTAACTGAGTTCAAGGCCGGCATCTCGACACAACAAACGTATCAGACCTAGACTTGATGATGGCCGCTGTCAAATCACAGCCTCACGTTGGGAAATGCATCTCGGCCATGCACTCGGCCAACCTCAGCCAATTACTGCTAAGAATATGTCACGTGCAGGTGCACAGGTCTGGCTAAACTGTGAACAGCCCACGCTAAGGGAGAGCAGCACCATGCAGCCTCGCATTGGCAAACGCATCTCGGCCATGCATTCGGCCGACTTCAGCCAATAAGCGCTAGGAATATGTCACGTGCAAGCGCAGGTGCAGGCGCACACACTGTGGCCTATCACTTTTGAACAACCCAGGTCGAGGGAGAGTAGCACCACAACCTCCAGTAATGGAGGTGGAGGGCACCACAGAGCAGCTGTCAAAGGAAGTCTGCCCCACCGTGGTTAGTGAGATGCAAGTGGAGGCACCATACCTTGGGAGTAGAGGTAGGGAGGGGAGGAGTGCTCTGTGAAGGAGACCTGGAATGCGGGAGGAGGATTAGCTAACGTGCATGAAATAACGGTGGCAGCCATAGCTTCCATAGTCGATAAGGTTGCGTGAAGTAGGCATCAGTCAGTTCATGATTGCTAAGGACTGGCCTTGCCCTAGTAGGGACCTACAAAAGCCCCACGTTGCTGACACTTTCCCCAGGCAGGAAGGAAGGATTCCTTGTCGTTTGGCAATCAACTTCAGGTGCCGTAGTGAAGATTGAAGGCCATGTCTTCTTGCGAGATATCAATCATCCAACCATTCATCGGGAAGACATGCTAGATTGCAGAATAACATTTTCGCTAGAAGGAGATAGGGAGAGAGGGAAATATTGGAGCTGATAGCTACCTGTCAGCCTGTCAAGGCTTGGACATTCTAATGACGTTATTCATTCATTCATTCATCCATCCATTAATTCATTCATTCATTCATTTATTCATCCATTCCTTCATTCATTCGTTGGTCAATTCATTGGTTGATTGATTGGTTAAGTTGATTGGTTGTTAATTGATTGGTTGATTGATTGGTTGTTAATTGATTGGTTGATTGATTGGTTGTTGATTGATTGGTTGATTGATTGGTTAAATTGATTTGTTACGATCCTGGCCAATTTTGAAGTCCACAACCATCAGAAAGTACAATGCTGCCCAAATGCAAAAGAAATAATTGAACTTGAGCTCAACTCCATCCAAYTGCAAAATGAAATGAAAGAACTTGAAAGGAGAGAGAGGGAAAGAAGAAGAAGAAGAATTAGAGAAGAAGAAGAAGATGTACTTCGGCATAGACCAAAACAAAGCTCTTCTTCTTCGCTCAACAACCTCCTCCTCTTTATCTCTTCCTCTCTTATTCAACTCATGAAAGAACAACAATAAATTGAACAGCAGAACCAGAATCAATGTCCGAATCCCTCTTCTACTTCAGGCTTCCATATGAGGTCCACCATAGCCATGGCCACCTTCCTCTTCCTCCTTCACAGGTCTAGGCTATGGCAGACTAATKAGACCTTGTCACTCCGGACAGCTATGGTGCTGCCCTCCCTTGGTCTACATGTAGCAGCTAAGTGGCTGCCCACTGTCCCACCATAGCCAGACTCTGCCCGAACTTCCTTGGTGCCACACTGCCCCTACTCGGGCCTTCCAGATGCAGCGCCTCACAAGATGATGAAGATGGAGTCCTCCATAGCCAGGTAAGTCCCTCACCACTCTCCTACCTCAACCCCTTCTCCCTCCTCCTCCTACCGGTAGAGCTCCACCATAGCCGAGGTGGAAGCTCCCGGCTCCTTCCTCTCAGCTGCGCTTGAAGCAGCAGCCCTTCTCCGCCCAGCGCTCCTCCAGCCTTGAGCCGGCTTGCACCGAAGTGAAGAATGAGGAGCACTGGGCTCCTCCAGACCTATGTAGCGGCCAACTTGCCTCTTGGGCGGTGACTTCCAGGCCGCTTGGCCTCCTCAGCCTCCGGTACCTTCCTCCGTTTCGGAGGGAAACATCATTGCAGACTCTGATATTGGCCGTACAGGCTCTAGATGCAGACTGGTACCGGCCTAGACCTACCCACAGCTACCGGACTCTAAAAATGCCGACTTTGTCTTTTCTGCTCGGCCTTTCAAGAACCCACATTTCGGCCTACCGGCCCTCAAGTACCCCACACATATGCTTACCGGCCTACTTGAGTGTTTTCCCGCTACCCCCCCAAGGGTCGCGGGGCTGCTATCGACACCACTTGAGTGTATCCCTGGCTGCAGCTCTCAAACGCCATGCCACAGGTAAGTACCGGCCCTCCCACGGGCCTGCCCAGCCATCACAGACCCATACAGGTCACACACACACTCAAGGCACTCCGACAACATGCAGGCCACACACAGTCATGCAACCCACAAACAAGCACGCACTCAGACCCAGCAAACACATCGACAGGCAGGGAACTTAGTACGGCATGCATCCTATGAGCAGAAATCAGAAATCGACTGTATGTTTCAGTCCGTGTATTGACGGGCCATTACANTCGACAGGCAGGGAACTTAGTACGGCATGCATCCTATGAGCAGAAATCAGAAATCGACTGTATGTTTCAGTCCGTGTATTGACGGGCCATTACAGATTGGTTGTTGATTGATTGGTTGATTGATTGGTTGTTTTTTGATTGGTTGATTGATTGGTTGTTAATTGATTGGTTGATTGATTGGTTGTTGATTGATTGGTTGATTGATTGGTTAAATTGATTGGTTGTTGATTGATTGGTTGATTGATTGGTTGTTTTTTGATTGGTTGATTGATTGGTTGTTGATTGGTTAATTCATTGGTTGATTGGTTGATTGATTGATTGATTGATTGGTTGATTATTGTTACTCGTAATTGTTGTTGATCGTTCAAGTCTCAGCTCTCACGCTTGCTCAGTCATTGGTTTCCCTATATGCGAAGAGCTACAGATAGCGTCCAGAATCGGAACCTTTACACAAAGACCGCTGAAGACCAAGCGGTTCTGCCAGAAGCCCTCTTTAGGCAGTCCAGGCCAACACCAGAGACTGGATGTGGACCTTGCCAGTCAAGTCTGCTTCGAATAATGAGGCAGTGGAAGAGGAATAGGAGGAGGAGCAGAGGGGGAAGAGGAGCATGTCCGTTCACGTTCTTGGAAATACTTCGCCCCGACCATCATGCTCCTGGTCCCGGCCCTGGTGCCAGTGCATTGTCTGTAGCAGTCGACCGATTTGAGCATCTTTGCAGTTCATTTTGAGTAAGAGGGCCTCAGGTTTGACTCACTTGGGCCCGACCATCAAGCTCCTGGTCCAGTCCCTGGTGCCACAGCTTGAACCTCGCCGTCTTGCCCGTGCATTGTCTGTAGCAGCGCAAACTGGTTTGAGCGTCTTTTGCAGCTCATTTTGTGTACAAGTGGCTCGGCTTTCAGTCAGCCTCAGTAGAAAAAATTCCCCTTCCAAAAAGGTATTGGTTGTTTTCCATTTCGTTGCTGGACTCCAGGGCGGTCATTTTTCGAGTTTAAGCAAGCTTTAAGCCATGTGGCCTAGGGGATGGCTGTCTGCTGCAAAATGACTGTCGAAAGGGCATCCATTAAGGTGCCAATAAAGGTGTCATGACGGCATCATTCAATAAAGACATAACTCACATGGCCCATACTCAAATGTTAGGATTTCGACAGCTCCCCTTGACCCTGCTGCTACCACCTCTTCACTTCTAATCTGGCTTGTTCTTTTTTTTAATCTCTTCAGAGTCTGCACCTCTCCCAATTTTTTTCACCTCCCTCTC